TGACATCTGAAAACGACGAATAGCGCGCTGCGAAACGAATCTTTTTTTTTAAATTGCTACAGAACAGAAGGAATATTGAACACATGTAATTTCGAATAAACTATATAAAACAAACGAAACTAGTGTATGGACCTAAACTCCCACACACGCAACATTTTGGTGCCTCCTGTGAGGTCGTTCACAGTACGAACGTGAACGACCACCGTAAGAACATACTGATTGTCGAGCGAACAGCGGCTAAGAGGGAAGGACGATCAAGGCGATCACGACTTCAGGACAACAACATTGGCTCTTGCAACCAATCGCACAACCCTCAGGACGAGTTACGCGACGAGATCAAGGCTAAGGGCAAGTCCATTCCAAATATAAATCAAGTGGCCGATTAAGCAATTTCCGTTACCTATTCCCAAACGACAATATGGCAGGTCGAATTAAGTTATTAATTCAAAAGCGAACGTCGTTAAAATCTCAAATTACGGGTTTGATGAATCTGGTTGAGAGAGGCAGTTACGATAAGGCCGCGTTAAGATTAAGGATGGCCCGCATAACCGACTTGTATCACGCGTACGAAGAATTTAACGACGAGCTCGTACTATTAGATCCGAACGACACTCATAAAGACGAATTCACTAACGTACAGGAAAGATTTTATTCACTCGCAAGTAAAGTGGAAGAGATAGTAAGTTCCACCGTTTCGACCGCGAGTACCGGTGTCACTATTAGCGCGTCGCAACCCAGCGATTCTGAGACCACGGCGATCGTAAAACGGCGAGTAAAATTGCCGGAAGCGTCTCTACCGAAATTTGACGGCCAATACGAGAATTGGCTGTCCTTTAAAAATACTTTTCTCGTTATGATCGATTCACAAACAGACTTGAGCGAAGTACAAAAATTGCAATACTTAAAATCGGCGTTAACGGGCGAGGCAGCTAATAAATTAAAGATTCTATCGATCGAAGGCTCAAATTATCAAAAGGCATGGGAACTGTTGAAACGCTCGTACGAAGTAAAGCGGATATTAATCTCACGCCACCTTTCGTTGCTCTTGAACACACCCGTTTTAGAAAAGGAGACAACCGACAGCTTGTCCAAGCTTGCCGACGACGCGCAGCGTAGCATCGTTAGCCGCGTTAGGAGTTAACGTGGGGTCCGAGATACTTGTAAACGTACTAGAAAGCAAATTACCTAAGATCGTAGCGGAAAAATGGGAGGAATCTCTGGATCGGGACGAATTTCCGAAGATCGACGATCTATACGAATTTTTATATAGAACCGCAGTTCGCATATCTAAGCGTGTTCGTGTGGGAACGACCAAACAAGCCGACAGATCGACACCTCCCGGGAAAAAGGCGCGGATATCCAACAAGGCATTTGTGGTTAATATTGCGAATAATTGCCCAGCGTGTAAAAATAAGCAACATCCGTTATTTAAGTGTGACAATTTCAAGCAATTATCTGTGCCGAAGCGCATCGAATGCGTGAAAAACGCGATGCTTTGTTACAACTGCTTACGTTCACATCGTGGTAAACCTTGCAATCATTCGCACTGTAGCATTTGCCAAGGGCGACATAATACGCTTTTACATCTTGAGAAAACCCAAGTCGCATCCACGACAACGGACGCGACGGACGTCAAGGGGGAACAAGGCAAATAACGTATAACGGGGAGTGGCCATGCAGCGACGTGTCTCGCAGCGATCACACCCGTTTTCACACCACAATTGATGACCACCGCGACGATATTTATTCGGGATCGTGAACTCAAGTTCATTAAGTGTCGCGCCTTGTTGGATACATGTGCTACCGCCAATTTCATTTCCGAGGGTCTCGCGAGACGTCTAAGGCTCCCTATAACAACACGCGCATTGCCAGTCGGTGCAATCAATTCAATGAACACGATTTCGAAAGGTGTCATTCGAATTACTATTCAATCGCGACACAGTGAGTTCCGCAAGGATACATCGAGGCCGAGTCCTCGCGTTCGTGCCAGAGACCGAGGCCGAGTCCTCGCGTTCGTACGTTCACACGCTCGTGCGCATCGGAGACCGAGCTCTCCGATAAGAGACATCGAGGCCGAGTCCTCGCGTTCGTCTGATCTTGAATAAACAATTATGTTTGACAATCCCCATAATATCAGACTTAGTTCCGTCGGAAACTTTCCCGCGAGATTCCATCACAATACCGTCCAATATAAAATTGGTTGATCCAGAGTTTCATTTACCGCGTCCTGTTGATTTGCGGATTGGTGCGGAGGTGACATTGTCGTTATTCTCCATAGGCCAGATCAATTTATCGATACGAGATAATGATTTATATCTACAAAAGACTTGTCTCGGCCGGGTCGTTGCAGGCGGAAGCTCGTCGCGGAATCAGCCGAAAACTGCGATATGTAAATTAACTGGTCTAGATCAACAGATCGCGAGATTCTGGGTGATTGAGGAGATATCTGATCCCACCGTTACGCCGAAATCTAACGAGGAACTCGAATGCGAAGAGCATTTCACTAAGTTTGTTACTCGCAACCGCGACGGTCGCTATACGGTGAGACTACCATTTCGCAAGGATAAGATGAGCCTCGGCGATTCGCGAACCGTCGCTCTCAAACGTTTAAATTCGCTCGAACGGAAGCTCGACTCAGATCCATTGTTAAGGGCCGCCTATTCGCAAGTAATACAGGAATATTTAGATCTGAAACAGATGATTCCGGTGAATAACCCTTCCAATGAAGGATTTTATATGCCGCACCATGCGGTAATCAAATCATCGAGTACCACGACCCGGGTTCGTGTCGTGTTCGATGCATCGGCAAAAACGAGTAATGGCACATCGTTAAACGATAGGTTAATGGTGGGGCCGACTATTCAAGATACGTTATTCGTTCACTTAATTCGATTCCGTACGTATAAATATGTTCTCACAGCAGATATAGAAAAGATGTATAGGCAGATATTGTTGCACGAGGATGATCAGATATACCAACGAATCCTCTGGCGCCAGAACGATCAAATAAAGACTTTGCAACTTAACACCCTTACATTCGGCGCATCCTCGTCACCGTATCTGGCTATACGAACAATTCAAAAACTAGCCGATGACGAGCACGACGCATATCCTGACGCCGCCCGAGTTCTCAAGACGCACTTATACGTAGATGACTTACTTACAGGTACGAATACCGTTAGCGAAGCTCGCGCGTTGCGGGATGACATAATCACGGTACTTTCTCGAGGCGGTTTTAATATTCGACAATGGGCGTCGAACGACGAACGTATCATTAACGATTTAACCCCCGATGCGGTGAATACTAGTCTCATGCTCGATAAAAACAACCCCTTGAAAGCATTAGGCATAGCATGGCGCGCACACAACGACAAGTTATGTTACTCGGTCCGCTCGATCGATCACGCCGAAAGAATCACAAAGCGAACGATTTTTTCCGAAATCGCAAAGATTTTTGATTCTTTAGGCGTCTTAGGCCCTGTCATATTATACGCTAAAAAATTGATGCAGAATTTATGGCAGTGCAAGGTAGATTGGGATGAATCCGTCCCATCCAATATACACAAAACGTGGATAGAGTTCGCGACTCAATTAGATTTAATGAATGAGCTATCCATGGATCGCCCTGTGTTGATTTCGGATTACACCGATGTTCAAATACATGGATTTAGCGACGCGAGTAACATCGGTTACGGTGCCTGCATTTACCTTCGTTCGACCGATCAACGCAACAACGTACGTTGTCGTCTACTTTGTGCGAAATCTCGCGTCGCACCATTAAAAACTGTGACGATACCTCGCCTCGAATTATGCGGTGCGCTCCTGCTAGCCAAATTATATCGCGAAGTACATCGTGCGTTAGGAATATCCCCTAGCAAGACGGTGTTATGGAGCGACTCGACCATTGCGTTACATTGGGTGAAAACTCCACCTCATCTATTAAAAACGTACGTGTCCCACCGCGTTGCTCAAATCCAAGAAATTACTGACTTACAAGCTTGGCGACATATTCGATCCGAGGATAATCCGGCCGACGCGCTATCACGGGGTCAGTTACCGCAGGCTTTCCTGAATAACCAATCATGGTTTTCCGGACCATTGTGGCTAACGAAAGAGGAAGGCGAATGGCCTAACGGTATCGTAGAATTAAAGGAATTACCCGAATTACGAAAAAATATATGTATAGCGACGGTTTCTAACGATTGTAGCTTCCTTAAGAAATATTCGTCATATTCACGATTATTAAAAATCACAGCATTATGCCTACGTTTTCGACCAAAGAACACTTACCGCGGGCAGCTAGGCATAACGGAAATAAATGACGCGGAAACGAGAATTATAAAGATCATTCAAAAATCTTGTTTTTCACGCGAATTGAATGAACTTGCGAATGGGCGCCCGATAAAGAAAGGCAATATTGCCGCGCTAAATCCGTTCCTCGACGAAAATGGTTTGATTCGCGTCGGCGGACGCCTCAGACTATTAAAGTTAGCCTTCTCGCAAAAGCACCCAATTTTACTACCAAGTCATTATTTCTTAACGGATTTAATTATGAGAGAAACGCATGAAAAATACTACCACGCCGGCATACAAACGACTTTGTATACGATTAGACGCAAATTTTGGCTACTCGACGGTCGAAACCAGGTGCGTAAAATCATACGATCATGCATACGCTGCTTTCGATTCAACGCCGGCTCGGTCGATTACAAAATGGGCGATTTACCTAAATCCCGAGTGAGTAACGCGACTCCCTTCGATAATACCGGGATCGATTTCTGCGGCCCTTTCTACATTAAGGAGAAAAAGTATCGAAATCAAAGGCGAATCAAAGTATACGTATGTGTGTTCGTATGTATGGCCGTAAAGGCAGTACATTTAGAAATCGTAAGCGACATGACCACCGATGGTTTTTTAGCAGCCTTGCGTCGCTTTATAGCGAGACGAGGGATACCGACACGCGTCTATTCGGACAATGGAACTAACTTTGCAGGTGCGAATAATCACCTGAGAGAACTATATGTTCTATTCAACTCCGATGAACACAGGAATCGTACGAATCGATTCTCGGTTGAACATCACATTACGTGGCATTTTATACCTCCCATAGCTCCACATTTCGGTGGACTATGGGAATCCACTGTAAAAGTATTTAAACATCATTTTAAGCGTGTTGTCGGTGAGCTTTTGTTTACATTTGAGGAACTAAATACCTTTACTATAGAAGTCGAAGGAATATTAAATTCCAGACCCATCTGCGCTCTCTCATCCGATCCCAATGATCTGTCTGTCCTTACACCTGCACATTGCTTAATCGGCAGACCACTGATTAACATGCCCGAGCCTGATCTCTCGTCTGTCCCAGCCAACCGTCTGTCCACCTGGAAACACACCATGAAGGTGCGGCAAGATTTCTGGGCTCGCTGGAACCTGGAATATGTCAACGAGCTCCAAGTCCGTACTAAATGGGCTAAAGACGGAGAAAAAATCAACGTCGGAACGATCGTCCTCATCAAGGACAAGGGCCTTCCCTGCGGTCAATGGGCGCTAGGGAGAATCGAAGAAACCCATCCAGGTCAAGATGGAGTGGTGCGAGTCGTTTCCGTGAAAACGGCAACCGAAACATTAAAGCGAACCGTGAAGTGTTTATATCCACTTCCCTTCGATCAATAATTTAAGCGAACATTCAACTGTAAACATCTAATTGTAAATTGTCTTACCGATGTAGGGCAATTAGATGTACATTAAGGTTGATCAGTACCCTCTCAACGGGGGGAGTATGTTGCGACGTAAATATAGTGGGCCCACTACGAAGCCTTGCCGAGCGAGGCTTCTAAAAAAAACCAAGCGCCCTTCGGACCTTTGGTCGAGCGCTCTAATCTTCTAAGTAAATAATAGAAGTATGCCTTGAGTCACCAGTAATGTATCTTCCGATGAGGTTCGAGTCATCGACCCAAAGGTGAATCTGATAAGCGCTTGTTCTGGAACGTTCGAAGTCGCAACGGTCAGTTGTCACAAAGAACTGCGGACATATATATATAGGGCCAACGGTCACGGCAGGACACTTCGAAGTCGTCTCTCGTAGAGTACAGATCGAGCCCTTTTCCG